AGCAGCAATCATAAAATAAGAGAGCTCACCTGCATTCATCTGCTGCTGACGGGCATCTGATCTGTGTGCTTATATGAGAGTAGGTTTGACAACTCTGAGGTTACTGTTTCCTTGTAAATACAACCGGCAAAACAAGTGTTGCTGATGTGTACAGGAAGATTAAAGATAGTTCAACTTCCCTCTTTGTATATGTTTGTTTCTTATGGAATATTGGCAGGTATGTTATTGACAGGTTTTTGTTTGTTGTCCTCTTTCTTGCCGATATCAGTCAAAAAAGTATGGTGGATTTGGCATTTTTCTGTTAGAGTGCCAGAAATTACGGCTGATGAAATTGCCACATGGGAATAGGTTCTGTTTTTTGTTTTTTGACAAGGTGCAGCTCCTCAAAGAGTCTCATGTTTGTTTTCTGCGACTTAAGTGAGCAATGAAATCTTGCCAACTAATGACCTTTTTGGTCAATTAACGTTAGGTTGACTATTTGGGTGCAGCTCTACTGGATTTGAATCAAGAATGTGGTGGCTTTAGACTGCTAGGTTACCAGGATGGCCATTTGTGGGTGTGTTATTTACTGTTTGTTTGTTGTTTTATTTTTTATAATTTTATAATTAAAATGGATTTATCCAATATTTTTCCTTTCATAAAAGGTGATGTTTTTCATCCTTTAATAGTCTTAGTACTGATTCTGTTGCAAAATACTTGAAACTTTGAGACCCCCACTCTCTTTTCAAGACATTTAATGATTTCATCATCACAAAATGGAAGTTCAATTGGCAAAACCTAATAAGTTACCAAAAAAAAAATAAATAAAGTTGTACCAACACTAATTTGGTCTTCAAAGCTGATACCACCTGGGCCTGTTCTCTGATTGTCTGTAGGAGGACAAATGGTTAAGTTGTCTTGATGATTTTACAAATCTAACTTGTGCTCATCCTCTTTGCTTGAACTTAAAATGAAAACACTGACATCTGACTGATACATTATAGTTTAATAAAAACACAGTTTCCAACACAATACAATACAAAAAAATACAAAACAATAAATTAAAAATACTGTTTTTTAAAAAAATTAATACATGATCAGTGAAGGCTGTGCTTGACAGACAATAGAGCCTTNTTAGAATAAAGAGGTATTTCTGCAGTTTCAACAAACTGCATTTTTGTAACTTTCTCTCACCTTCTTTTCTCTCTGGATTAACTGTCTTGTGTACATTACATTTTTTAACATTACAACTCATTACAACATTTACAACAAACTGACTCATGGGACATAATTGGATATAATGTGCAGTATCATCATGAACATGAGCATATACTCTTACAGTACCTGTACTTTAAATTTGATACTGTACATACTTATCTTTGTGCAGCCACACCTAGACCGATCTTTTGCATTGACCTGTTTATATTCTATGATTCATACTGTTTACCTGATTTTGGCATTGTATATACTTTGGGTTTGCTTCCTATTTGCACCTCATTGTCTTCTCTTGGACCTCTATGTTTTCATTCTTTATATTTCTCTTCCCACTTTACTTATGAACTGCTGTGCAGCAATTTTCCTCGTAAGAAATAAAATTGTGACTTACTTAAACTTATACCAAAAGTATAACACAGTACAAATTACACAAATGAAACATATGCAGGCGATACAACAAATGCAACATTTACAACAAGTACAACATGACGACCTCTCCTTGTCGTTCCAGTGTACTGAAGTGTTGTAACCGCCTGATTCTCTGCTTCCAGTCATCCTGCTGGCTTGGTGGTCCTCGTGGTCAGGGATATTCACTACAAACGTACCTTGGTTTCGAAAATCTCTAGAATCATTGCTCTCAGTCTCTGAAGAGTCATCATCCCTATGATTTCTTCTGTTTCCATTCCTGTTGTTGTCTTGGTTAGAGGAGTGCTTCTCCTGAATCACAATAAGCAGCAACAGTCCAAGGCCAGCAAGGTCACCCCATGTGTCTCTAATGTGCCTCAACAGGAAATGATCTGCATTACCTCCATAGTGGTTTCTGAAATGCCGCAGTTGTTGTTGGTTTTGCCCCACAGAAAGTTCTCTGATCTGTCTCAAGAGGTTAGTAGTGATTTGGTAGGTATGAGCTGGATCATAACGTGTGCCCTGACGTTCAGAAGTGTCGTAATGCTGTGTGATATACACCCGGTCTATCCTCGGTAAAGCTTGCTGTCCTGCGTTCTGCTCCCTGATGCGAATTATGATCCTATCCCTGTTTGTTCCCATGTACTCTGTTGGGGAGTGGACAACATAAGGTGGGAGAGACATGGACGTTCCTTGATTGAGATTGCCAATGGTGTAGTATCTATTTCCCAAAGGCAGCGGGTCCAAGATCCTCTCATAGTTGCCATAATGATGTGCACCATAATCTCCACGGTTTGGGTCAAAGGTCAGCTGTATGACATTGTTATTGTCGATGTCAACTGTGTTGGCAAACCAGTGAAGCAGCATAAGACTGTGTTTGGGTACAGATTGGCCAAAGTCAATTTTCTTCAAATCATTGATTGAATCAAGTCTTCGTACAGCCGTCACAGAGGTCAAGGCAAAGAACAGAGCCACACAGCAACTCGTGACTCTTCCTGACATCTTCATCATCCTGTATAGATATTTAAAATATTATTACTCCCATTATTCATCCATACTTTGCATTCTCAATCTATACATGTGTTTGTGGCCAGAGATGTATCATAGTTATTTCCATGATTTTATCAGGTGATCATATGAACATTGGCTTCGTTGACATGCACACTTATATTCCACCATTGTTTGAAGTATGGCAATAATCAGAATTTGACAAAGGTTATTTAAACAGCATGTTCTGTTTGGATATTTGAATTAGGCCTTTTTTTAAATTATGCGGCACACAACCTCTTGCCTGTTTATAGTCAGCTCTGTGCGTTGTAATGGATGCGTTGTACACAAACCAACGAGCTAACAGCTCACAAGGCTGGGGTAGAGATACATGACCAAAAGAAAAGCCCACATTTTTGGTCGGAAGAAGAAACACACCTACTTTTAAACATCATAAAAGACTTGGATATCAACAGGTTTTTCGACATGCGTTACTCTTGCAGCGGCAACCTTTTCAAGAAGGTGGTTGGAGGAATGAAAGAGGAAGGCTGTATTTGCATGGGCAAACAAGTCTACCACTGGTGGAATACTTGGAAAAAAATCACCCATGTTAATTCAAGAAAGCAAGACTGCAAAAGCAGCCAAACTCATTCCACTTATCCATGTTATGATGTGATGAACGACATGTTTATCAGGGCACATTATTGGAGTATGCACGGCTGCATGTAAATAGTAATATTAATGGATTTATTTATTTAAATTATTCATGCGAACAGCTTTTTGGAATAAGGTCAAAAGTGGAATACTTTGTGCATGCAAATGTAGTCAATGAACCGGTTTTATTTGTTATCATTCCTCCTACTCATACTGAGCAGTAAGGGTTTGTCCACTATCAGGAAGGAATGCACAGCCCTCATTTTGTAAACATGTATTTGTAAGTATATCTTAAGTTATAATGAAGCTTTCTTCAGGCTTGGCTAATCAAATCAAGTCAGTATATTTAAAAAATGCCAAGCTTTTTAGTACAGAATTCTCTCTTTATGCATCGTTGTGTAGCTGAGGCAGAGGAATAGTATCACAGAGAGGAGAGAATGCTCACAAAGAGGACATGAGTTAAGTGCTTCATCAGTAATGTGGAATAGTGCCGAGGCACGTACTAAAAACAAAACTATCAATCAGAGAATAAGAGAGCTCACCTCTGTTAGTCCGCTGCCGTCGGGTATCTGATCTCTGTGATCTGATCTGTGTTTCTGTTTTTCTTGTGTGAGAGTAGGCGTATCTCCTTTTAGGTTACTGTTTTACTGTAAATGAAACTGACAGAATAAGCATTGCTGATGGTAACAGGAAGTTAATCAATAGTTTGGTAACTTCTGTTTTTCTTTATGTATGTTTTGCTAGTATGATTGTTAGATTTTAATTGTGTGTTCTCCTTAATGTCGATACCTGCCAAAAAAAATGTGGTGGATTTATTTTACAGTACACAGTAAAGTGCCAGAAATTATGGGTTGAAAGACAAGAATGACCTGTGGCAAAAGATTCCAAGCCGGATTCAAATCAATAATGTGGTAGTGTTAGACAGCATGGTCACTACTAGGACGCCCTTTTTTTTTGTTTCTTTTTTTGTTTCAGTTAATTCTGATTTATCCAAATTTCTGATCTATAATGGGAGATATTTTCATTCTTTTTTTTAAAGAATTTTATTACATATTCTGAAGTTGTTTGACATTTGCTGTTTCAGTCTCTGACCCAACCGCACACAAGATATAGTTCAATTGACTCTTGTATGCTTTCGTTGGTTTGCTGAGTCATGTAAGTAAGCTAGAAGCTAAAGCCAAACTATAGGCTACAGATCACAGTGTAAAAGTGAACCACCACATCACTTCTGATCGCCACAGAAGACAATGAATATAAAGGGAAACTTTGCTGATATTGAACCAGCTGTGTGGCATCACAGTGTGTGCAGATGAACAGTGTTTGGCTTTGCCCACGTGTCGCTGCCAGGACCCGGACCTTTGCCGCTGGTCGGGCAGTGATCTCCTTAGGAAGTCAAACAACGTTCATCTTCAGTTTTAATTTTCTGTATATACCTGTTGGCTGCAGATTCATCCAGCCCTTTAATGTAGTCATGTTCCTCTATTTCCAATTCACGCAGTATATGAATATCACTTCCTGCCCTACATCTGAATTTCACAAAATAGTCACATAAATGCAAACAAGTCATGAGGAACAGTTAACTTTGATTTTACACATCAATCTTGAACCTGAAATAAAAAAACACTGACATGGGTCTGACTGATACATTATAGTTTAATAAACACAGAATTTCCAACATTACCGGAAGAATATTAAACCATAAATGAAATGCACTCCTGTATTTTTAAAGCAAATACATTGTCAGTGTCAAGGCAGTTCACATAAGATAAAAGAAAATAACAATCATATTTTTACATTTATTCATTACATGTACATAGTTAATACACAGGTGCTATGTACAGGTTCTAAATTGTACTTCTGCAGTCCATTTTTGATACTACACAATACAACATAGTCCGCTACAATATGATATTAGCTGTTAATCCCTCAGGCTGAGGGACTAAAAGGAGCTAGCTAGCTCCCAAAGGAGCTGTTGTCCCTTCACCCAGGAGGACTGCCAGTTTCTCTAGTGGGGTTAATGTGAGGAAGTTTGGGATTTTCTTGGCTATTTCTCCAAAATGAAGATGTTGTACTACATCAGATGTTTCAGATTACAACTCAACTACTCACAACTGACTCATGGGACATTAGGACATAATCATGAGCATTCTGTATTAACTATGTACTCTTGCACCACCTATACTTAAGATTTGATACTTTACATGCATATCTTTATGCAACCCAACCTACACAGATCCCTGCTGTTAACCTGTTTATATTTTATGAGCCATACTGTTCACCTGAATTTAGTATTGTATATATTTTGAATTTGCTCCTTTTTGCACCTTAATGTGTTGCCATATCAACTTTTACATCTTCATTTGTTGTATTTACACTCTTCCCACTTTGTATTCCAACTGCTGTGCAGCATTTTACCAAAGTCTAAATAGTTTTATTTTTTCATAAAATAATACAAAAGAGCTCCTATAACACACAGTGAAATTAAAACTATGGAGACAATACAACAAATACAACATGGTGACCTCTGGGTGTTCTTCCGGGGTTTTAAGGTGTGGTAACCGCCTGATTTTCTGTTTGCAATCATCCTAATGGCTTGGTGGTCCTCTTCGTCATTGTGGAAATACACTACAGACTCATCTTGGTTTCTGAAATCTCTAGAATCATTACTCTTGCTCTCTGAAGAGTCACCATCCAATTGATTTCTTCCGTTTTCGTGTCGGTTGTGTTGGGTAGAGGAGTACTTTTCCTGAATCACAATAAACAACAGTAGCGCAAGTCCAGCAAGGTCACCCCATGTCTTTCTGATGCTGGAATCGTCAGCGTTACTTCCATAGTCGTTTCTGAGACGCTGCAGTTGCTGTTGGTTTTGTCCCACAGAAAACTCTCTGATCTGCCTTAAGAGGTTAGTGGTGATCTGGTAGGTGTGTTCTCGATCATATGTCCTCTGATTTTCACGATGCTGTGTGATGTACACTTGGTCTATCCTTTGCAAAGCTCCCCATCCACTGTTCTGCTCCCTGACACAAATGATGATCCTGTCCATGTTTGTTTCCACGTACTCTGGGATCGGGGGATTGAAAACGTAATGTGGAAATGGCACTGGTGTGTCTCGATTGAGATTGCCAATAGTGTAGTACTTGTATCCCCGAGACAGTGGGGCGGAGCTCAACAGATTCTCTTCATTGTAATAACGATGTGAGCCGTAATCTCCGTTTGGGTCAAAGGTCAGCCATATGACATTGTTGTTGTCAATGCTGACTGTGTTGGCAAACCAGTAGAGCAGCACAAGACTGTGCTTTGGTACGGATTGCTCAAAGTCGATGTTCTTTAAACCATTGATTGAGTGGCGCTTTTGTACAGCCGACACAGAGGTCAGGGTGAAGAACAGAGCTACACAGCAACTGGTGACTCTTCCTGATGTCTTCTTCATCCTGTATAGATATTTAAAAAGTCAATTTTCCCATTATTCATCCATACTGTACATTCTCAGTAAATTCATATACTTGTAAATAGAGATGCATCTAATGATTATTTTCATGACTTCATAAATCTGATATAATAATTAGATTTTTTGATGAATAGCTCATTCAACACCTAAAGGATAGGAGGACAATTTCAGGTCTGAGCGCCTGGAAATAATTGTTGGATGGCAACAGCAGGCTTTGTTGTTAACATTCCCTCTTTTCATACTGAGCATTTAGAGTTCGGCCAGTATTAGGCAGAAATCCACAGTCCTTGTTTTGTGCAAAAATATATTTGTAAGTTTATCTAAAGTTAACACAAGGCTTCAGCAGCTGGAGTAAATCAGATCAAGTGAGCATCCTTTAAAGTTTTTAGTACAAAATTCCCTCTTTGTGTTACAAGTCTCAGAGTTCCTTTGTTCAGCCAGGGTGGAGGGACAGTAGCTCGAAGAGGAGACAGCACTCACAGAGAATACTTGATACAAATGCTTCACCAATTATTTAAAGTAGTGCTACAGTTAATGATCAAGAATCAAAACTTGTAATCAGAAAATAAGAGAGCTCACCTGCATTCATTTGCTGCAGACGGGCATCTGATCTATGTGCTTATATGAGAGTAGGTTTGACAACTCTTAGGTTACTGTTTCCTTGTAAATACAACCGGCAAAACAAGTGTTGCTGGTGTGTACAGGAAGATTAAAGATAGTTCAACTTCCCTCTTTGTATATG